CCTCTGAGGGTGACGGAGCCCTGGCCTAGGCTGCCCAGGGAGGCTGTGGAGTCTCCTTCTCTGGAGATATTCCAGCCCCGCCTGGACAAGGGCCTCTACAGCCTACTGTAGGTGACCCTGCTTCAGCAGGGGGGGTGGACTGGGGGACCCACAGAGGTCCCTTCCAACCCCCAACATTCTGTGATCCTTAAACGGAGCAAGACTCAGGCCTAAAGTCAGGCAACTGCTTGAACGCTGGACCACCAACGCAACTGCACAAGTGCACATCTTATCGTTCCTGCCTCCACCTCTCCCATGAGTCACCGCCTGCCTCCTAAAATATCAGGTCCAAAGTTCTCCTCCCAGCGTCCCCCCCATCCCTCCAAACCCCTCTCAAACACACAGAAGAAAAGAAAAATCTTTTTCTTCCAATCCCACGAAAAACTTTGCCCTAACCTGAGCTGTGAGCCTCCATTCTTGTCTTTTCATCCATCAAAGCACAGCAACATCTCAACGCAGAGCTGAACGTGACATAACTACAATCACACGTGTCAAGTTGGTAGTCGGAGTGCGGAACAGGAATCTATGGAAGCGCCTTCCTGAAGACAGAGCCTCGGCAGCTTTGCTTCTGGAGGCAAATCGCAGCTACGTCCTGGCCCAAACAGCCCTCCCCGCTCAAGCGACACCCACCGCCGCGTCACTGCCCCCCCTGCCGTACACAAACGACCTCAGTGCAGGCAGACAAGCAAAATGTGCTTCATCTGCATTTTAGAAAACTGAACATGCGGGCGGGTGAAGCCACTTGTCCGTGATAACGTCGCCACCGAACTGCAGAACCAGACTTTGAGCCAGAAAGGTCACGAAAACGCTTCACGCACGCGTAGGTGCAGCTCTCCAAGCCCCAAGCAGCCGATTTCTGCTCTGACCATCGCCAACGCAAGGCAGCAGGACACGGACATGACCTGTTCACAAATATAACAAACCTGGTATTCCTCTAATTATTGCTATTTTAAGCAAATTACACACAAAACCTAGACAGCCCCAGGCATGGCACTGGCATACAGGTCTGTAGTTGCTAGAGGAGCATCTCATGACACGCACAAGCTTTCGCCCGGCGCGAAAAGAGAGATTAAAGATGTATTACTGCCTCTGCCATCCTCTTCCTTGCTTAAGCACCTTGCTATGTGATGTCTGCAAGTCCAGCAAAGCCACGTTAAAAGCAAGAAGCAGCTTTAAAACGGCCTCGTCTGGAGATGTCAAAGCACAACGCGGCTCTGGAGTAAGGTAAAAGTCTTACTCCAGCCAAACTTCTGCTCCTCAATGTTCACCCCAGGACCAAAACCAGCAGATTCACCTCTCAGAAGACCCGGTAACCCATTTCCAAATCCAAGAGGCTTCTCTGGAACCAATTCACCGGGACGCAGTCAGCGAGCGCCGTCACACCCCTTGGGATGGCTGTCCCTACCTTCCTTGGTGGAGACCTGCATCCTGGTGGCCGGCAGCCTGCAGAGCCTGTGCTTGGTGATCTGCACCAGTCCCCTGGGCGAGGAGCGTTTCGGCGTCGCAGAAGGTTTCCCCCGCGAGGAGTTTTTCTTCCTGAGATGGAAGTGGCTTTTCAGAGGAGTGGTGGGTGAGGAGCTGGTCTTCTTATCCATTGGGGAACTGCGAAGGGGAACACCACACAGTTAGAAGAGGGTAGAGAGGTGACCAAAACGCACTTGGTCCCCTCACCCAGGGCTCAGAAGTCACCGAGCATCACACTGCTCCTCTACTCCAGGGTGAGAAGCAGCACTGAACAGAAAACTGCAAGTAAAGAGGGAAGCGAGACGAATTTCAGGCAAAGCACAGATGGAGAATGAGGTAGCTGACAGCCTAACTCAACTCGTTCTCTTCTGCTTTCTGCTCAACAGATGCCGGGGAGAGGACGCTGCCCTTTAGAGAGGTGGGAGGGGGGGGGTCTCATCTCCCTGACTGCCAAAAATCCAACACAATCCCAGCTTCTCCAAGCACCTGGCTCCAGAGTGATCTTCCCAGCACAACCTACCCACAGGCACATCCCCCAGCAAACCAGGAGGGCAAGGCAAGGACGGAAATCTGCTGTGAGGTGCTGAGCAGAGGATCTGGGAAACAGAAGCAGGAATCAAGGCATCAGATCCTCAATCAGGGCTGTGTTACCAGCTCACTGCATTGGGTGGTCGGTGAAGTGGATAGAGAACTGGCTGAATGGCAGAACTCAGAGGGTTGTCATCAGCGGCGCTGAGTCTAGTTGGAGGCTGGTAACAAGTGGTGTCCCCCAGGGGTCAGTACTGGGCCCAGTCTTGTTTAACTTCTTCATCAACGACCTGGATGAAGAGTTAGAATGTACCCTCAGCAAGTTTGCTGATGACACCAAACTGGGAGGTGTGGTAGA